GGGGGGAGTATGTGAGCAATGTGAGAGAAGTGCCATGTATTATTTCAATGTAAAGAAAAAGAGAGAAAGGGCAAGCGTGGAGGGAAGCAGAAACATAATAAAGCGTTGCTCCTACACCCGGCTAACTTTACATTTTCTATGGACAAATCAACTACCAGCGACACACACCACACACACACACACACACACCTCACACCCCTTTAGCCTGCCCTCCCTTCCACTCCGCCCAATCCATGACTCATCCGCTTGTCCCTCCTCCTCCTCCCTCCCTACTTAAACCACGATGATGACATTGCAACTTCCTCCAATGGAGCGCCTCAAGCTGACTGCGCCTCACCTCCAATACTGTCAGGCGGAACTGATGCCCCCCCGCCCCCCCCCGAACCCACAGCACCTGCTTTTAAAAACAGGCCCGTTCCCAGCAAAGAAGACAACACAAGAGCGGAGAAATATTCGAGTGGAATGGCCCCAATTGTCTGATGTTATAGATTTCTTGTGCCCTTTCCTCTGCTTCTGCAACCCGCTGCTCGCTCTGCTGTAAAACAAATAAATCATATAGAAAAGTCAGCTAAGTTAAAACCATTTGGTTTTTGTCACATAATTGATCACTTAAGCATTCTATGTTTGTTTATGTCCCTTTTCTCTCCTGCCACACAAACAGGCTAGCTGACATAGACTGGTATTAAACCGGAAAAGCTGTGATTTGCCTCTTTGAAATATATAGAAGTAATTAATAATAGTAAATTAAAGAACAACTCCTTGATTGAGCGGGATTCTTACAATTCTACAGCTGAACTGCAACTCCATGAAGACTTAAGCTGTAGCAGCAGTACAACTATACAAGTCTAACATACTACATGCAGCTAAAAAATGCGGTCTCCCAGCTAACTCTAAAATTACCAGTGATAATCGTACATATGAACATTGATACATCAAAAGTCGAGCCGTCCCAAAAGCATGTCAGAAAAACACTAAAGAAAACCAGCCGGTGATTGGTTTCAACCAAGCCCTCCTACTTCAAACCGGAATTTCAGTGATATGTGACATATAGAAAACGGCTTCAGATGGATTACGAACCACATGGGACAGCCCCCGCTGTTTGGCAAACTTAACAATACTGTTCTAAGACTGGTTTGTGGTTCCGGATGAAATTTCATGCCAAACCAATAAGAAGCAGGACAGAGCTGCTAATGTTACACAGTACCCTGGTAGGATCCAGGGCCGGATTCATAGTGAGACTACACAGGCCTTAGCTGTAACACTTGGTTAAAACTGTACTGTACGCAGTAAGCTAGTAAGCTGGACAGGCTAACGCACGCAGCTTTTGTTCAAGCAGAAAAACACACAGTTTTAATCTATTTGTTAAACTCTTGTGTTTTTAGTTTTGGAAAGATAAATAAGATAAGACTACCGAACGGTAACTTTAAGAATAAATTGCAAACACTTTGATGAGACTAATTAGGAATGCAAATGATTATCTTCTAACTTGATGTCATCTCCAGGTTAAAAGAAAAAAAAGGTTTTGAGATGTTGAGGTCATAGGTCCAAATTCTCCCAGTGCAACTTGCCTACACCCAAAAAATCTGATCATCTTTCACATTTAATCAATTTAACTGTTAAATATTTTTTTTTCTTGAGCTTTATATATCTATATTTTGTTTATTTTTCCCCCTTTAAAAAAATCTAATTAAAAGGTATTGACTCCATATATCTACGTATCGTTCTCTTTTAATGGTGCTTCGTCTTCGTGATTCTCTTCTAACATGCTGCATAATACACTATTCATGGTAAAGCTCTTTACAAAGACTGTAATATCGGATAGTTTCATTTGCGCAACGTGACAAAACATGATTACTCTCCAAGAAACACCACTTAATTCTTATTCACTAGTCCCTTTTTCCCTTCTCCTTACATGCACCTTCCGCCGCAGTCTATAAACCACTCAGGACTGTATTACCATTCAAATATTTGGTCACAATGTTCACGCTTACCATGAAAGCCAAATGAGCATGCTGGTTTTGCAAATAAAATCACCTAAAATGACCATAAAAACTCCTGTGATTGGAATGCGGAGAAGAACACAGTCAAATTAAAATTCCCAGCAAACTAACAGAGGGAGTTGTGCTGCCCACACTAATGAGGCCTGTATGGGCAGAAAAAGAGGCAGAAAGACGCTGCAGGTGGGATTTCACCAAGGAAACAGCGTCATCCTTTGAACCTCTCTGACTGGGATGTTTGGTGGTCGTTTAAATTCAGTAAAGCAGAGGTTTTTTTTAGGAATTGCAGGTGCATCTCTCTAAAGTCTGGAGAATTGAGCTGGCTGTAATTAGTGTCAGCTGTACTGTAAGGATTCTTTGATCAGCTTTTCAGTGTAATTCACGGATCTCTGTGTTTTATGCGTGCAAATTCCTAAAACGAGTCAAAAAGGCACTCACTGTGGAAAGAGCACGCAGAGTGAAGGGGTTTAGAGACACTGACGTACAAGTAATTCTTTCCATTATCTGTGACATGAAGAAAATGGATTTCATTATATCTCATCGGTGTACACAGGTGCAGATCCTCTCATTAACAACTGTGATTGTTACTTTCATTTCATGACACAGCTTGAGAAATATCCTCATGTAAGATGTCTGAAAAGATGAATGCTGGGTTAGAACTGTCTCTCTGTAGCCCCTTCAGAACATATATAAGTACATGATGTACATTGCCATCTTGTGGATTTAACTTGCAAATGCATAACCTCTTGAGAGTGACAGGAGTCATATTCCTATCAGGAACGGTATGTTAAAGTCAACAGACAGAAAGTCAGAGTCAATGTTGGTTTTATCTTTAAATTTAAATTGTGATTTAGTTTTTTTCCCATGACCTGCATTAGTTACAACTTCCTTATAATCCACATGGCAGAGTTGAAAGGTGGAACATTCTTGTGATCTAAAAATGAATATGCTAATATATTATATTCTCCCTTTATATTCTTGCACGGTGCATCATTATTAAGATTCAGATCCATCTAAGGTGTGTGGTGGGTACGAACACATTAGACCACATGGTGGCAGTACTGAGCCTATCACAGCACAGAGCACAGGTCTCCTTTACATTAAAATGTATTATTCTTTTATAAAATAAAACACATAAAGATTAAACCAGTGGTTCCAGCATTTTTGGCTCGTGACCCCTAAAAATCAGTGTCTAGCTGGGGGTCCATGGTCAGTTGTCTGTGAGTGGTTAGCAGTTCCACCAAAGAACCATTTCTCCTCTAAACAAATTGTTTCATTTAATCAGTAAGTACCCCCAAATTTATCTAATGATAATATCCTATCCTGTCCTATACCACTGGACTAAACTACCAATACCTAGCCCCACCTACCACCAACAACAGCAACATGCTACTTACACACTGATGCATGCATTAGTATTAATAATGTCACACAATAATATCGGCCATCTACTCTGGGATCACATTTCAACGATGTCGAAGGCAAATTAATAATGATTCAAAAAAATAAAAGGCACACTTACTTGCTTTATTTGGAACCACATCTGACGGTCTTCATCGATGGATAGCTCAGTTGTCATGGTGATGGATGCGCTGTCATCACATGACCTAAAAGTGGATTGTTCCACTGTGGAGTGTCACATGATAAGAGGTGCTCATGGGGGTGCAAGATGGTAGCATATGTCTCTGTTCGAGGAAGGTCTTTGGATGTGAATGGCCTCTTTGATGTTGATGTCAAAATCCATCAGGGGATGAAGACTGCGGTTAAAAGGTCTAGAAAAAGATAGTGATTAAACCTTGTGTTTAGTAGTGACGTAACAGTACGTAAAGAAGAGGGGAGACAGATTGTTACAGAGGTCAAACTCAATGCAGCAGAGGCCGACATGTCTCCACTTTTGGTCCCTATTATGGGTCAAGCTTTTTATTGTGCAGAAGTATTATTTCAAAGCTCCAGAATTCTCAATAAATAAATAAGTACTATTAACAAGTACTCAGATGTTTCACCTGCTTCATCGCTCTGGTTGGACAAAAAAACTCAGTAATCAGTGGTCGTAGAAATCTCACACAAACAAACCCACACACACTCTGTACACCTGTGTGTACATACACAAGATGAACACACCAGCCCACAGAAACACCAGCGAACACACACTCACAAAGATCACACCGAACCAATACTGTAACAAAACAATCAGTGCACACTGACACAGACAGCTTTTCTTATTGCAATATCCATTTATTGTTCTCATCACACAAATCTTTACAAAACAGAGGGTTTGCTGCAACAGGATCAAAGGAAATGTGTTTCTCCCCCAGAGTTGCAGATCTGAAGGAGACCGGTGCTTTTTATTCACATGTCAGTCAACTGCGGCGTGTTTGTTCTTTGATTTAACTACAGTAACTACAGACTTTACAGGAAAAGTAAAGCTGCAGTGTTGACGGTTGAACCAGAGGAGAACATATTCTGACCTGAAGGGAATCTGGCTGCTGAAGGGTGTTTTTCTTTAGGTGTTTATTTATTTGTACTAAAGCAGTGCTCACACAGTGAACACTGATTCAGAAACTGACTGCATGGGTGAAGAGTTACTGAGATTTTGCACAAATGAGAAGCTTGTACTTAGAATTATAGGTTGTCACTGAAAGTACTTAATGTGTTTTCTGTTGTTACATTTTTCCATTAAGATTATTTTAAGGCATTTATGCTTCATCGGGTCAATAAAGACTGAAAAGCAATGAGGAAAAGTCTGAAACAAAGGGATGTCATGCAGCAAAGGTCATGAGTCTGACTCAAATTCACAACGTTGCAGGTTTGTGGTATATGTGCTCTCTGCACCACCAGAATGTCACAGTTTTCATGATTTTTCTTTTCAATCAAAGTACAAGATGCTCAAAAGATCTCTGCACCATCTTTCTAATAATAATAATAATAATAATAATAATAATATGTAAGGGTAATTCAGCACATACCTTTAATGGCTATACTGCAAAGTTATATATAAAAAACAACTTCCTGGTGTCATTCATGATACTTTGTCTCATGCACACAGAGGAAATACTAAAAGTGAATACAGTTTTCTCTCTTCTTTGTTGTCAGATCGACAGACACGTTTGTGGTCTTATGTTATCTCACACAGCCGAATGTTAAAGTCAATTAAGCTTAATACAACAGGGATATTAAGCAGCATTAAATGATTTTAGATCAACTGAACAAGCTATAAACCAGACATATTATCATCTTGGCTAACATGTTAGCAAGTAGTTGTCTGTTAGACTATCTAGATTTTACCACACAAGTTTAAGATTAAAATTCTTAAAGTTGCACTCATCAATATATTTTTTTAACAATGGATCAAATAACCATATCTAATGTGATAGGGTTAAGCGTTGAAGATAGTGAGAGTTTTAGCATCTTTCAGCTCGTTGTTTTGATTTAACTACACTGTCCGGTGCAAATGTAGCAGAACATGCACACTAAAATGTAGTAGTGTGGTATGTAACGTTCTCAACCTTTGTTTCTAGCAGCAGGCAGCTGTGAAAAATCTACTGTATGCTGGCTGCCCAGTGCTAAACTGCAGACACAGTTAGCTAACTGTATAGCTGGTGGACACAGGTGAGCATTTAGCGAATAAAGAGGAGTTTACATTTATCAGGTGGCCAGAAAGACGACTCCAGATAAATGCTAATGTTGCACTGTGTCTACTGGGTAATGTGTAAATAAGCACCTGTAGGCTAAGTTAGTCACAACATTGGAAAGTGATTATGTAAATGTTGTGTTCACAGCTAGGTATTCCCAAGTAACCAAAAAATTAAAAAAAGATAAATTGCTGCTTTAACATTGTATTTTTGTTAGCTTGCCCTATGCTAGCTTTCTTGACTTTTACATTTGGCTGTGTGAGCTAACATAAGACCATGTACGTGTCTGAAGATTTGACAACAAAAGAGGGAAAAACTCTACGATTTATGCTCGTGTGAGAATTCAAAACAGAAAGGGCTTCACTTCCATAACTCAATGAACACACAGTATGTTATAAACTATAAGTAAACAACTCTCCCAGTCTAACCTTGGTCCAGTGGGCATGTAGTTTGATTCAAAGAGTGAGCCATCTGGCTGTTTTCCAGCTGATCCAGTGTAGGTTCAGAGTGGTTAAGCACCTTCATACACACTGTTCTCTATCATCATAATAAATACAACATTTTCCCCAATCTCTATACTGAGTGTTGTGATGCTCGTGTAAAAACCACACTCTCAATACAAAAAAGAGTTATGTACAATATCATACAAATAGGTTTCAGTGTTAGAAAGTGTAACAAGGGGAAGGGACGTACAGTAACAACTAGGCTAGGGAATATAAGTGTGATTGTGCGTGTGCGCTTTTGAATATGTTTCAATATATGTCTGCTCTGTAAAACAGGTCTTTATTCTTGTGTGTGTGTGTGTGTGTGTGTGTGTGTGTGTGTGTCGTCCAGCAGAGGGAAACATTTCACAGCACAGTGATGGTATTATAGTCAAGATATCACACAGAGGAGAGCTAAACAGAGGTTGTAAATAAAGAGTGTTGGGAGAGGAAGAGGAGGGAGAATAAAAAAACATGGATTCGAGGGAGTGTGCAAATCAAAATCAGCAAAACTGTCACGCCACACGGAGTGCTTATGGCAACCACACAGTATATACATGTCAATAAATAAATCTGTTAATAAAATATCAGAAATTAATCACAATAATTACATGACTGTAGCAAATCTTTTAAAGATTTGGCAAGAAAGAAATTCCAGTTCAGGGAGAGCAATGCCGTTCATGAGTGAAAAAAAAAAAAAATACAAGAAAAAAAAAATACTGTCTGTTGGCATCACAGAAAGTGTTTTGTATGAAGGCTCCTCGTCTCGAAAGAATACAAAAAACAAATATTTGCTCCTGAATGCGATGCACTTTATTTGGCTCACTGTTGTGCCACCTGCAGTCGGGAGCTTGGCTTTGTCTTATCAAATGTGTTTGTATTTCACATGGTTTTTTGGCGAAGCTGCAACCATCTGAGAGATAAAAAAAAAAAACATGAAGAAGAAAGCCAGATGAAGATGTCGGTACTTTCATCCTGTTTGCTTTTGTCTGGTGCTTCTGCTGAGAGATACGAAATGGGTTCTTTGATCTGAGTAAACCTCATGCCGTGCTGAGTAGGGCACTGCTACTCAGACTACAGTGTGTGTGTGTGTGTGTGAGAGGGTGTGTAAGGGTGTGTGAATTGGATGAGATAAGGACAGAGGGTGAGAGAAAGACACCAAGGGAGAAAGTAGAGAGAGAGAGAGAGAGAGAGAGAGAGTGTGCGTGTGTATGGCTTGCTATGGGTTTTTATGGGTAAATCTCAGCAGCACACATATCCTTCAGCCTGTTTCTTTGGTCCAACATGGCAACCTCTTGACTGCAGACATCAAAGCTGCATCCTGGGAGTCACACAGGGAGTCCACCGTCACATTTAGCTTTCAGCACCTGCCTCCTTTAAGTACGTGAAAACTCATTCATACCGAACAAAAAAAAAACATTCTCAGGGGTCACAGTTTGATGTGTTCTTCCTCACAGAGCACACCACTGAAGATGAAAGTGAGCTTCACATGAGTTTATAGGAGAAAAAAAGTTAAAAACAAAAGTCTTTAATTATAATATTCAAAATGAAAAAGAAGAGATGTACCTGACTCTGCACTGAATGTTAAGCTCTTAACTTTACTGGGAGTCCAGCAAAGAGAAAGTCTTTGAAGAGTTTGCCTATCGGTTCCCCGGGGGTTGAGAGGGCAACAGGGTAGGGTGTGTGTATGTGTGTGTGTGTGTGTATTAGGGGGAGGTCTAGACCTGTGTGGAATAGGAGCGGTGCAGCGTTGCGTACCGCCCAGCCGGATGGGCGGCGCAGTGCGGCGAGTGCTGCTCCGACTGGTCTAGACTTCGCTGGAAATGGAGCGAGACGGTATGAGGACATCGGGGGTGGCGGGGAACCGATAGGGCTGATGGTCATGTGATCTCGGTGAACGGAGATCCCCGCGGAGTCTGCAGGGGAAAGAGAGGAGTGAGAAAGAGAGAGGACGGGGCAGAGAGGAGGCGAAGGAGAGAGAAAAGTGAAGAAAAGAATAATCAAGAGCAATGCACGGGATGAGGGGAGGGAAAGAGGAGAAGACAGATGCATAGAGCCGAAACAGAAATAAGGCAACAGATGACGGGGGGAGAGTGAGGAGTGACAATGACAGGCAAAAAAGATTTAAAGTTGGTTAGAATGGTTGGACGTAGGTGTTGTAAGGTGGGGAGGAGGAGGAGAGTGCAGGATGCTGGAGGAGAGTGAGGGACAAGGGAGCAGATTGAGAGGAGAGAGGCAAGGTGGGAAACAGAGGAAAAGAGGCAGTCAGGTGAGGGTTAGTGACGGTGACAGACCACAGAGGATGCAAGACATTTTCCTAAACACTCGGACGTGGACTCGTGTTACACTGCTGCCCCCCCCACTGAGAGAATACCTTTAGAGAATGCAGCACTGCTGAAGAGAAGATAAAAACTTGAGAGGGCCTCTGCCATCGCAACAACTTTTTACTATTATTTTCTTTTGGCCTCAGCTGAATTCATAGTTTTCCTCCAGCCGACTGCTTTGCATTATATCCGAATGGTAAATTATACCTCGAGTGTGTCAGCGAAACTGCTGACTCACGTCAAAGAGATAAGTGACTCTCTAAATCCCCGATAACAAGGAAGTGTGTAACATTGTAGAGTTTAGGAATAAGGGGACACAGATGAGTTTGTTCAATCCTCTCAGCCGACAACAAGGCTTAGAGATTTAAAGGATTCACTTGGGCGTTGTTGTTGGGACTGGGGGTGCAGGTGGGGCTCGGAGCATGCATGTTTGGGGGATTTGTTCTCTTTGGGAAAATAAGGAGGACAACGGATTCAGGTAAGAGACAAGGGGTGTGTATCTCAGCCCCTCTTTTTGTGAGCGCAGCCGTGCCTCACACCCGCCCCCGCCCCTTACCTGAGGGCCACTTAACTTTTCGAGTGGACTCTCCACACAGGGAAGCGTCACCATCGGCATGCCCAGCACGGACTCGGGGCGATGGGGTCGTGGTGGAGGAGGACTGGGCTGCATCTGCTGGAAATTGTTAATCACACAGGTCACCTGGAGACGGAGATAAAAGAAACAAAGGTTTGGAAGGTGGTGTATTTTATTTTTGCCTCTACTAAACAAAAGATCTATTCTTTACAAAATGTGTAAGGAATAGATTTAACAATGGAAAGTCTAGTACGACATTATTACAGTATTAACCTCATTACATAAGAAAAAGACCTATTGAGGACTGGAACATACACCCTGTGGGAGCCAATATGCTAATATGAGGGTTTAGAGTGTAAATAGGGGCTAGGTCCTACTTTTTAGTCCTACATACTAGTATTTTAGCATTAGCATTAGCATTAGTAGCTTACCCTAGCTAGCTACAACTGATAAAAACTTCTATTGACAGGCAACATTTCTGATGACTAATTCCACAATTGTCGGCTAGTATTGATAATCCTACATTATACAACTCCTACGGAGTGTCCTTCTCACCAGAAACACAGCGATGGCTCCTCCGGTGAAGAAACCCGCCAGGACGTCAGCCCAGTGGTTGCGGTACTCAGCCACCCTGACCACGCCTACTAGCATGGCCAGACAGAGCAGGCTGAGGCTGATGGTGGGCTTGGTCAGCCGCGTGCCTTTGGTCTTGAACACCAGTGTCACGTACATCTGCAGAGGAGCACACAGGAGGGCACGCACAGTAACATGCAACGGACACAGGAAGCAATACAAGACACACAAGCATATTATGCATCATTACAACCCAAGTTAACAGTTAACGTCTTGGTACAGTGTCTCTTTTGGGCTAAGTTGCAATGTTTCACATTCAGTCTGATATTCCTTATGATTCAATAGTTCCTGTGCAATGAGAATGTTCCCACCAGCCACTGGCCACTTAATTTACGTTGAGTGGGGTGAGTGAGTTGGATGAGATGCTTGATACGAATCTTTGTGCTAACCTAAGACTGTGGCTTCATATTTATGGTATCAGCATGAGAGTGGTATCAATCTGCTTATCTAACGCTCAACATGCTTTAAGCTCTTTTCTCAGCAAGAAAAGTTGAGTACTAAACAAAGTGAAAGCAAAAGGGTGAAAATATTGGTAAAGATGAGTCCTCTTTAATTGAGTAAACAAGGTTTCAATTGGTGGCAAGTATTTATCACCTCCAGCGTGCTCCAACCTACCACTGTGTACACTGCGGAGAAGACGCTGAGCGCTGCGTCCTTGGACGGGAAGGATTTCCGTGCAGACATGACAACCAACGGGTTGCCTGTACAGGCACGGCGCTCTGCGATGTACTGCATGGTGGACTGGCAGCCTAACGCTGTGTAGTTTGGACGGCAGGCAGACAGGAAGTGAGGCGCCTGGTTTCCTGTCACTACCTGGCCGGCGTTTGCGAAGATGGTGGTGGTGAACAGGCCGAAGGCATAGACGCCTAGGTAGGAGATGAGTATGAGGGAGGGTTTGGGGGGAGGAGGGGGATAAAGAAGTGGTATTAAGAGAGGACAAAAAAGTTTAAAGATACTGTATATCGGAAGATGAAGAAAAGTATATTAAATGTTTGACAGAGAGCGCTATCCAAAACACGTAACAGCACTATGAGATAAAACGGGTGATAATACGTTTACACTCCCTAAAATAGCCCCAACACATTATTATCAGCTGAGGTGTGAAATTGCAACAGAAGCCTCCACCTCAGCTGATTCAGCTCAAGATGCAAATTTGTAGACTACTTAATATTCACAAGTGCCACGATCCTGAATATCTTACCGCAAAGATTATATCACAGTTTATCATCCAATTAACAGCTACATGTACACGCTCTGGTTGACAAACTCTGAAGTGTAGCAGGTCACATTCTTACAAGTCAATCTTTTCTTTCATGTTATTTTAATCTTTGTTATTTGGCCTCTCACGCTCCCTGTGAAAACTACACACCTAGCACCCAGATACAAAAATGCCCTTTCACAGGCCTGAAAAGAGCAGAGGGGCTGTGTAATACAAAACAGCAGGTTTACCTAGGAAGCGTATTATACGTCTCAGGAGGGGGTTGAAGTAGCAGCAGTCTGCAGTGACGATGGTCTTCTCCTGTGTTCCCTCTGCCTTGGTGAAGAAGGCACACAGCTCTCCAACAAGAATCTGTGCACACGAAGAAAACACAAAAAAGCTGGTTGAGAATGTTAAGTGTTGACATGCTGAGTGACATTTTTGACACATCTGAATTCATCATGTTGTATTATCAACCGTTTTGGGGTTATGCCCCCCACAGCACTGTAACGACACTCAACCTACACCCTTACACACATAGGTCAAAGGTCAGGATCAGCCACAACACAGCAACCTGTGAAACTTTCATTAATGACACTTCAACACAGACTTCAACTGCAGCGACAGGACGGTAGAGGAGTTGAAGTGTGTCAAAGTTCCCAACTGCTTTTGCCCTACCTTCACAGGAATGTTTTCAACCTAAAAATACAACCATTTTTGTATTTTTAGCCATGCTAGCAGTGTGGCTCTAGGGATGGAAAATGTTGCTCTTTTGGTTCACCACTTTTGCCCAGATATCTCTAAAACTACTGGATGGATTGATATTGTGTGGTACACAGACCTTTCATCTAGCTCACTCATTCATGGATGAAAGGTGGTGAAATGTTTGGATGGAATACAATGAATGTGGTCCATACATACACATACTCACATGTACCCCTATGGATGAAATATAATCACTTTGATGATTTCCTAACTTTCCATATAGCACCAGCAGGTCTAAATTTTAATTTGCTTAACAATACTTTGGTTTATGACCAAATACCTGAAAAACTATTGACATTCCCATCAGCCCCATCCGTACTCTGTAGCTTGAAATGTTTTGTTTGACCAACAGTCTGAAACCTGAAGATATTCAGTTGACTCAGCTGATCGTGTATGACAAAAAAATGTGTCATATCTTCAGATTTAAGAATCTTGAATATTTGATTCAATTGATTTATTTTTTATTTTCTCAATCAGTGAATCTACTAATTGTTGCAGCTCTAATTATGTGAATGAAGCCTATCCCCCTAGTTCCCACTGCTCTGTGCAGGTGCCTCGATCAGCCAGTGAGAGCTTTCTAGTGCATCAATCCCCCACTGGCTTCACACCTGCAAATGCTGCTAATTGTTTGTTGTAGATCACTACCAGAAAATGAACCAGGGTCTCTTCAAAAGTACTCAGGTTTTTTGCTCATTATTAACATTTATTGAAAAAGGAAAAGATGTGTCTAAATGAATAATATCAGCACAGACATGAATAACTAGAAGTGACTGAGGCAGATGTAGAACCAATAGTATTCTGTATTCTCCAGAGGTAGCTCACATTATGGAGGAAGACAATACACTTAGGACTTTCTCTTATTTTAAACAACTCCTAACATAATGCAGTTCTACATCATTTGACCACGATGATGAGTGAACCTGTGCTGCACAAAGTTCTTAGCATTACTAATGATCTCAGAGCTCACAGTGCAAATGGATCTAATTAGACTCCTCAATCATCATCTGTTTTATTAAGCGTGGACTCCCTGGCTGTGGTCGGATAGAGATGTAAACTAACTACAGTCTGGAAATGCCTGTGATCAAAAATAGCAGCCATTGTTGCTGGGTGCTTGTGGTGTTATTGTTCTCTTTGTGAGGAGCATCAGGCTTGTGGCAGAGGTTTTGGTCAGGTGATTGTGTTCAATTCACTCCCTGTGAATCTGAACAGCAGTGCCTCTCCAGACTGATGACAGACCTTAATGGACTGCAACTGTGAGACTCCTCTGTGTGAGAGCCTACAGCACTCATACAGACGCTGGCACATGCAGACTAAAACTTAGCTCCCTCAATGAATTACTATGACAGAGATATGCTTAATCTTAAATCATCCTGACAGTTTCCATGCTCTGCTGTGATAGTACCAGGACCCACTTTAATACTGACCATGTTCCACAAACCCATCAACCTAATTTTTCCTCTTTCCATATTTGACATAATCCCTCATTTATCCCCCTCAGTGACAATGCCTAAAGAACTGCTGTCTGAGCAGAGAAAGCAGAAGGAAATGAAGGAAATACAGACATAGAGAGAGAAAAGGAGAAAGAAAGCAGCGCAGGAAGGAGACAAAGAATAAAAATTATCATGTTTCTGTCAAATCTCATGCTTCTTGCTGTATTTCCAAGCGGGTCCAGCCAAATCAAATGAATTAATAGCATGCAGGGGCCCAGTCAGTGCAGCAGTGCTGTGAAGTGTGTGCCCGGCCCAGTGCTTTCTTCCATTAGTTAAACACAACCCTACTGGGTGTTCCATGGCAACCCTATAAACACTAATACGAGCATGAAATCAAAGCGGAGGGAGTTTAATCAGTAGCTTCAAATCAGAGATGTTAGGGGCACCGTCACACTGTGGACAACCATTTATGGGGCAATTAAAAAACAGCATGGTGGCTGTTTCCATGGGGACTGCCGGACTGTGGAAGGTTTCAGCATGTGTATACCACAAAATGTGAGATAATGGTAGTGTGTTGTCGCTCATGGACAAGTGCTCTTAAACACTTTGCCTCAGGCAAAGCTGTCAAGCAGTGGGTGGTTGGCCTTTTTTGAAGAATAGTACTACTACACCCTTTTTGTCCAAAACTGTTATGCTATAATTCTGTGATAGGCCTCTTAAGACAGTCAGTTATCAAATCCCACACAGATTTCAAAATCAAATAAACACACCCAACTTATCTGGTTTCAGTTTGATTTACTCTCTAAAATCTCTCCTAACAGTGTCCTTATGAGCTGGAGGTTTTCATTGCAGATTCAAAGTAACAAACCTCAACAAAACTATAAGTTGATTAAAATTTAGCTTAGTTAACTTAAAAGTTGTACCTTTGAGTTAGCCCAACTGAGAATTTTCACTTAATTTACTCAAAGAGAGAGAAGAAAGAAAATCTGTGAACTAGAACTAGGCTAACTGTTTCCCCTTGTCTTTGTGCTAAGCTAAGCTGCTTGCTATAGCTTCATATTTAACTTGTGGTAGTACATGCTATTATTCCAATAAGCTAACACTGTTTCTAAACAACTTAATTTGATGTGTTAAGTGAAAGATCATTCAATCAATTCATCAATCCAAATGAGAAGACTGAACTAATTACTATGAGTTGCAAATGATGATGATGATTAGATAATCTAATTACACTGTATTTGAAACTGACAAATGTATCCAGTTACACTGATCTAAAGATAAAAGTAAGTTGATTTAGTATAACTTTTACAGTGTAAGAGTCTTGTATAAAGTAAACACGGTGTGAATTCTAAAAGTTGGTTTTCACGTTTCACAACTACAGAGTTAATTTAATTTTGTCACTTTGTATTTTATCAAATCTAAAGATTCAACTAGGATTTTTTCTTAAAAGGCAAATAATTTCCTGACAACTTGTAATTCTTATTTTTCTCAAAAATATACAGTTTTTACTGCGTACCATAACCCTTTGATTGTTAAAGCAACAACCGCACCCACTCAACACATCACTACTGAAGCCCTTCAAGATAAGAGCAGGATGATCTGTGAGAGATTAAGTGGAAGAGAGTGTGACAATACAATAGGAAAGTTGAAGAGTAAAGCAAGAAGAGAGGAACAGTAGGTAAAGTAGAACGGTGATGGGGTTAGGGGTAATGCTGCAGGAATGAATTATTCATGCGTGGATGGCATCCATGTGAATCATGTAGCGCATTATTTCAACCAACATTTCTAAATGATCTCTCTCCACTGCAGTGGGACGCGCTCCAGCTCCCTGCCTCTGCCCTGACTGCTTCAAGGATTCACAGTTAAATATGACGAGGTTGTCGCTGCAGTTTAGGGACGAGTGGATAATAATTCCTTGAAATTAAACTGCTCACCCAGTCCACACTCTGACAATGCAGAAGTGCTGCGATGCGTCCAGAAACGTGACGTTCCAGGACACATGATGATTTCTAGAAATAACAGGATGAGATTCAAGTTTGGAGAAAACTGAGCATGGACGGGAACATATATTACATACAAACTCACATGCATGATTTAGTTGCAGAACAAGGAAAAGGAGTGAAGGAATTAAACATTAATACATACATGAGACATGATTAACTCTGTGTGCATGCACAAATTACATCAGAACTCATTTCTGTCTGCAGAAGGAAGCTGGAGGATCCTGCTCTGTGTGTGTAAGTAATCAGATCTCGATTTGTGTCAGTGGGTATTAGTCAAATGTGAGTGTGCATTCAAAGTGGGCCTTTGTATGAATACGTGCCTATTAGAAGACAATAAGCGGGGATGTTTTACTTAGAGCGCTGAGATGAATGAAGAGGATTGTTGAAATGGTGGAGGAGCAGTGGGAGTAGAGGAATGAAGCAAGCAAGGAGAGATAAAGAGGAGCCAATAAAAGATTTAAATGAATACACTTTATATAATTATTTTACATATTATTGTGTAAATAAACAATTATTCAGTAGATTTGCATGTTCAGAAGCCGGAGAAAACAAATGTCAGGATATGTGCTGATTCTCCATATGAAGATTATGATCTCATTAACCTCTTTTAAAGTTACTGGTGAATCTGTAAGATCTAATTACTGTGTAAAACTAGCTGTACTTGTGTGTTTCCTGTATTTTAAAGACTGTCTGAAGCCGCAAGTTAGTCTAAAGAAAGGACAGGATGCAGGAGACAATCAGCCTGTCGTGCTATCATTGTGTGGTAATGATGTCAATAAAGCTGCAAGGACGAATCGAGCATCTTGGAATAAGCCTGAGTGATGGCACTGCAGCAGAGCAGCGAGATGCAGATTGCTTACATTACTATTCTCTTCTGCAAATAGCAACTGACTCTGTTCAGCCCGTGTTAGTGACAAAAATGGGGGGGGGGGGGCAAAAAACAA